AGGTCAGTCTGTGATGAATAAATGCTATGATAAACCAACTTACATGCCCAAAGGGTAACATTCAAGGCAGGATAACATGAGCCTAATTTGTACGTGTTAGCATAACAGTGCACATCTTATGTTACAGCAGCCAAGTGAAGGCCACTGAGAATTGATTCCATTTCATAGAAACTGCAGGCAGTAGCTGTGCATATGAGGTGCAACTCCTGGATTTGCCCTTGATGTGGACTCTCCAAAACAGTACCAGAGGCTATCATTATTGTGCCAAAATTTCTTCAACATTTTCTCCCAAGTATTTTCATTCAGTTTGGTTGAAGCCTCTAAAATGAGGGAGAGTTCCCAATAAAAAGGAAGAATGGATGTGCACATAATAGGCCCTACTTTTCAGACATTACCCACAAAGGCATATACAACCATTGGATAAGGATTCCCAAATTCAGCACAGTGAGTGGATCCCAGAGGCATGGTCTCACTTATTCTCTCCACATTAAAACTCTGCATCAAATGGACATGAACACTAGAAGTATTTTTCAAGGCCACTGATGTACAGACCCATGTGAAAATGCTGCAGAAACAGTGGAATGCATTTATTCATTTGTTATCTTTCATTTCCTTGTCCTCTTTCACACAAAAGCAGCTCCACTGGCTGCCCGTCTGTTTCCGGGCCCAATTCAAAGTGTTGGTTATGACCTTTAAAGCCCTAGATGGTTCAGATTCAGGCTATTTGGCTGAGCGCATCCCATTGTACGAACTTGCCTGGGCCTTGAGATCTTCAGGAAGCCCTTTTTTTTCCGTCCCACCTCCATCTCAAGCTCAGTTGGTGGGAATGAGAGAGTGGGCCTTCTCGGTGGTTGCTCCTCAACTATGGAAGTCCCTGCCCTAAGCCAGAATGGCCCCTTCCTTGCTGTCCTTCTGGCGGCAGGATACAACCTTTTTATTCAAACAGACATTGAATGAATATTTTAAAGATCACATCAGGGGCTGCTGTGATTTTATATGCCTTTATGGATTTAACTTGAATTCTTTTTAATATTGATGATGTTTAGTAGTGTTTTAATATTTGTATATTTTAAGTTGTATGGTAATGGTTTTAACTGTGAGTCACTTTGAGTCTCCGTATGGAGAGAAAAAGCAGGATATAAATAATAATAATAATAATAATAATAATAATAATAATAATAATAATAATCAGCTGGTGTACAAAGCAAGCTTCTTCTAAGGCTGAAATATTCTCAATTTGAATCAAATGTTACTAAAGATTCATGGTAACATGATGTGAATAGTTCTCAACCATCAATGAGAAGAGAAACAAAGATTTTAGTACAATCACTTATTGAGATGGAAGAAAAAGGTATCTATGCACCTTGATAACTTTGATTTTTTTAGAAAAATAAACCAAGCTCACATGCTAACTATGAATAGACCAGCATGGTGTAATTATTTGAATGAGCAATACTGAGACCAGAGTTCAGTTTCTTGCTTAGCTATAGAAGCTATCTGAGTGACTTTGAGCAAGTCACATACTTTCAGTCTGAGAAAATGTATTATTTTATTTTTTATTTATTGCCTTTATTTATACCCCACCTTTCTCCCTGTGGGGACTCAATGCACCTAACACTCCACACTAGGTAAATTTAAAAGGTGTACTACAAAAGTTAAAAAGCAATTAAAAAGCAATTAAAAAGCAATTAAATACTAGGAGTGGTAAAAACTAAATTAAAATACAGCAGATACTAAAATGGCATTTAAAACTCATATTTCCCCACCCTCCAATCTCACCTACAGCACCCATCAAATTAAAAACCACAGCACTCTCTGAACTGATCTTAAAAACCTTCTTTTTAAAAAGCTAGTCTGAATAAAATTATTTTAGCCTCCTGCAGGAAGGACAGCAGGGAGGGGGGCATTCTGGCTTCCCTGGCCAGGGAGTTCTAGAGTCGAGGGACAGCTACCAAGAAGGAAGGCCCGCTCTCTCGTTCCCACCAACCAACCTTGAGATAGAGGTGGGACTGAGAGAAGAGCCTCTCCTGAAGATCTCAGGGCTTGTGCAGGTTTATACAGGGGATGCAGTATGCCAAATAGCCTAGATCTGAACTATCTAGGGCTTTAAAGTAGCCAGCACTTTGAATTGTGCCCAGAAACTAACTGGCAGCCAGTGGAGCTGCAACAGCAGGTGGGGGGGGGGGGAGGTGTCCGCTCCCTGTAGCAAGCCTTAGTGAGCAACCTGGCTGCAGCTCTTTGGACCAGCTGAAGTTTCCGAGCACTCTTCAGAGGCAGCCCCACATAGAGCACATTACAGTAATCCAGATGGTATGTAACTAAGGCATGTATCACTGTGGCCAGTTCTGGGTTCTCAAGAAATGGGCACAGGTGGTGCACAAGTTTTAATTGTGCAAAGGTCATCCTGGCAACTGCAGATACCTGGGCTCCAGCTTCAGTGCCAAGTCCAGGAGGACCCCCAAACTGTGTCTTCAGGGGGAGTGCAACCCCACTTAGTACAGGCTGAATTCCTATTTCCTGATCTGCCTTCCGATTGACCAGGAGCACCTCTGACCAGGAAAACCCCACGATAGGTTTGGTTAGGGTCATTATAAAACAACTTGAAAGTACAACCACAAAGCCATCCTATGATCACACTTACTTTCTGTTGGGTTATTATATTATTTCTGTATAATTCTAAGCTGTGCTAAACTGTTGTACTCTTTCAATAACTCTGTAACAATACAGTATTCTATAACTCTTGTGATAATCCATCTAATAGGAAAAAATAAAACTCCAGTAAAGCTATCAAATACTACTGCTGGAAAACAACAAATCTCAAAATACTGTAAACAAACAGATAAAGTAGATCTCTTGGTATTAGGACAATTAAATGGACAAGTGCTTGGCAATCACTTCTTCAGTCCAAGGTCTTTTTTAGTGCAGAACTCGTTCATTTTAATAAAGCTCCCATTGGCACATGTGTCATAAAACTCTGAGTTTAATAACACAGAAAATAGAAATCACACAGCTAGAAAATATCAGTCAAGGTCAGAAAAAGAAGTTTATTATATCTATGAGTATATCCAAAAGAATTACTCATATCTTCTATAATCAAATTTGCTTCATGGATACAGTTGTCTAGACTTAGTCACTGTGATTTAATTTTATCCTCTCTGCTTCCAGAGTCAGAGTGCTGTGTGCAAAATTAGAAAAATACAGTTTTATGTGCAAATTTTAATCTTAGGGTCAGGTTTTTCAGGACACTGGCATGTAACACTGAGGGTTATATTTTAGAGCTAATTTAGTCAACTAATATCTGCTGTCCAATTAATATTGAAACGAACAGAAGGAAAATGTACTGTGCATGAGCTATCAGAGAGAGAGAGACTGAACCAATTCAAAATTTTGGGCATGATCCAGTAATGTCAAAGATAAATTATATACATCCTTAAGTTTTCACTTCTCTGACCTTAAAGTACTCTTAAAAAGTTGTTTAAATACAGTACACAAGGGTGAAGATGAATACAGTATTGAGTACAACCACTCAACCATCTGTCTAATTAGGTACAGTGGGTCTGTTTATTACACAAGCTTGTTGAACATAATTTCAGTTACATTCAAAGAGCTATGAAAAGAGCTAGTAATGCCTTAGACCAGTGTTCTCTCTAAACCTACAGGGTGACTGTATACCACTAGAAGTTGGCCATAGAGTCATGCTGGAAATGAAGAGAGAACACTTCTATAGACATCTCTAGTTTCTCTGGGTAAAGGTAAAGGTTTTCCCCTGACATTAAGTCCAGTTGTGTCCAACTCTAGGGTGTGCTGCTCATCTCCATTTCTAAGCCGAAGAGCTGGCATTGTCTGTAGACAGCTCCATGGTTATGTGGTCAGCATGACTGCATGGCGCACCGTTACCTTCCCGCCGGAGCGGTACTTATTGATCTAGTCACATTTGCATGTTTTTGAACTGCTAGGTTGGCAGAAGCTGGGGCTGACAGTGGAAGCTTATGCCACTCCCTGGATTCAAACCTGCAACCTTTTGGTCAACAAGTTTAGCAGCTCACTGTGCCACTGTTGAATCTAACATGATTCAATACTACTCTTTGACCAGGAGCCAAGACATTGTTCATTTGAGGTAAGAAAAACAGAGTATGTGAATATTGTGTTACATGAAGTGCTCCTGAACCGATCCTCACACAATACACAGATCTATCATATTGTCGAATCCAACTGCCGTTGACAATTCAAAGGCTTTCATAATCATGCTAACCCAGAACCTTTTATCTTGAGACACCACAAATAGAATGTGCAACCTAATGCCCATGCTCCACCAGAGAGCAATGGTGCTTCGCTGTTACTGACGTCTAAGGGGATCTTCATGCTTCACTTAAGATATGACTTTTCATTTTGGTTTAATAAGCTGCCTTATGATTTTTTTTCATGCAAATTCCAAGAAACAGCAGCTGTTAAGTATAGAGTTGCCAATCTGAATACAAGGTAGGCCTCCTGTATCTTTAACAGTCAAGAGAACCTGGAAGAGGAGGAGGTGTAGTTTAAAGTTCTGCCATAACAAATTATGCAATGTCTCATTCCACATACCACCCAAATCCATCTTTTGACTGCTGCCTCCCCTCCCAATGGAGCCATGAAAGTGGATTGCTGAGAAGCATCAAGTGATGTTCCTATAGCTGTGAACACATATCACTGACATCATCCTTCAAGATCTCCAGAGGATCCCATGGAGATCCTGGAAAATTCCTTGTTCCTGTGATTCCAGTATATTTTCAAGATTCCAAGTATAAATACAAATTTACAAAATAGTAATGAACAAAAAGTAAAAACTAAAGATCAAGGGAAGCTGGGAAACGATATTAATTACAGTTCATACTCTGACTCCATTCCTATCATTTCAGTTTCTTACCAACTTTTTCATTCTCTATTCATGCCAGTTCTGTGAACCTCTTCAAATCGATTATGTGTAATGCCAGCTGACAAGTATATTAATTTCATTTTCTTACCATTACTATTGTTGCTTCCATCCTTTAGCAGAATTGATTTTAAACCATTATCAAGTAGCTGTTTCACAGGTACCCAGGAAACGTGGCTTGCCAATTCATCAGCAATCCAGTCACAAACCTGAATCTTAAAATTGCAGCTCTGCTGAACTGAATGAGAAAAACAATGTTTTAGCCCATTTAGAAGTTAATTGTAGAACATATTGCATCCATTTTTCCTTGTGAGCTACCTAGAGAACTTTGGTTATAGGGACAGCGTAAAATACACATATAAATATATCTAGGAAATTCATACATCACCCTTCATGGTAAGCACACTGAAAACTCCAAGATACAATTACTTGGTTTTACTGGACTACAGTTCTCATCATCCACATCTTGCATGGCTAATGGCCACATTGATGACGGTTGGAGTTATGATCCAACACATTTGGAAGGCAAGGAAAGGCTGCTCTAACTTGGTTAGTTTGCCTATCTAAAGTAACTTATAGAATCTTGCCAGAGAACAAGCAGCAATACATACATTTTGCCCTTTATATGGGTTTATGCCTTGTCTCCTGTGCCATCAGTTGGGGGGCCCTCTCCTCAGCACTAACTGCAACTCTGGAGCCAGATTGAAAAGGGGAACCCAGGAAGACAGTTCCGTCTTGTCTCCTGTGCCATCAGTTGGGAGCCCCTCCCCCCAGCAACAATAAAGTACTATATAATACTAATATTGTTCTATGCTAATAATATAATATATTGTATATACATATAATATTGATAATATTATAAGGTAATACAATACTAATAAGAATAATGCAATATAATAATATTTATTATATATTACATGTAATATTACTAATAAAATTACAGTATAGTTGTATAGTACAATATAGTAAAATACAATGCTAATATTGTGCTATGCTAATAATATAATATATATGAACATAACTTGTAAGCTGCTCTGAATCCCCTTCAGAGTGAGAAAGGGTGGGGTATAAATGTAGTAAATAAATAAATAAATAAATAATGCAAACTACAACTCCCATGCACTTATGAGGGTTGTAATTTCTTGAAGCACCAGCACTCCTTGGCAGAGAAAACTACAACTCCTAGGATTCCATAGCATTGAGCCCTGACAGTTGAAGTGGTGCCAAACTGTATTAATTCTACACCCTCAGAGACTATCTATGGAACAGAAATCTAATGTGAAAGAACAGATTTTTGTTGTATTTTTTTTTTTACAAAAAATGAAGGGGACAAAGTAATACTGGATTAAAATAATAATAATAATAATAATAATATTATTTATAACCTGCCCTATTTCCCCAAGGGGAGTCATTGTGCTTATCTTCCACTATCACAGACACGACTTATGGGAATGAAGGAGAGAGCCTTCTCCTCTGTGGCCCCCGCCTCTGGAACGTATTGCCCAGCGAGATTAGGCAAGCCCCCACCTTAGAAACTTTTAAGAAGAACCTCAAAACTTGGCTTTTCTGTTGTGCCTTTGGAGAGTAATCTTACGTCTCCTTTCATCACTCCCACCCAAAATGGGTGTCCCCATATTGTACTGCCTCCTGCCTACATGAAAGACTGTCGCCATTACTCCGTTCATGAGTCTCCCTTAGAAATATGTTTTATTCCTATCTCATCCTGGGTTTTTATCATTGTATCTTGCACATGTGGCCCGCTCATTGTGATGGTGTTTGATCTTTTATTGTATTACTTTGCACTGTTTATTGTTTTTATGGTTTTTTAATTATTTTTTTATTTTGATATATGAAAAGCATATAAGTGTACATAATATTTCCAAATAAAGAGGTGGAACAATAAAAAGCATAAAACATCGCAATAAAATGAATCAAACATAAAAACAATAAAGTTCCACCTCTTTATTGTTTTTATGTTTGATTCATTTTATTGCGATGTTGTTCTATGCTTTTTATGTTATTGTATTGTAATTGCACTACTGGGCTTGGCCTCATGTAAGCCGCCCTGAGTCCCCTTTGGGGAGATGGTGGCGGGGTATAAATAAAGATTATTATTATTATTATTATTATTATTATTATTATTATTATTATCTGTAAAATGTTGCCATTGCTCGTGAAGCAGGTCAGCAGAGAAAGACAAAATTAAGAAATCTAGTGCTAAAGCTTCTGTGTGGTCTGAGCTACAGGATTAAAAATGTTAAAATAGGTCTGGATTTCATATATCTCTCACATGAGGAACCAACTGGATATCCGGCTTGTCAGAGTATAATCAGTAAGGTTACTTTTAGTATTAAAAACTGCTCCTGCCTCTAGCTAGTTCAAAAACAGTGACTCCTACCCTTCTCACTGTCTACCAGCCCTCTTCCCCTTTCCTTATCTTTTCCTACTGGTTCCTCTTTTCCCTTTTCAGGTATCTTTGAAGTCTAAAGATTTCCTGTCCCTCAGGAGTTGCAACACAAAAGAGAGTTTACAGAGGTCATCCGTATTAGTTCAGAAGGACATGTTCTTGTTGTAGAAGGAATACAAATACCGAACCCTCAAAGGAAACCATTCTATTTTTTTCCTTCTATGAGACATTTTTATACAAAAATCTTAATAAAATGCTACATTTGATAAATCTTACAACAGAATCCTCCATGCGTAGCATTTGAGGGCATGTTGGATGCATTAATGAGGAGCTTTCCATCTAGAATGCAGGTCTCATTGCCAGCATGGCATTTCTGCTTACACAATGAAGTCTTATCTGCAAAAAGAAAGATCAACGCTTGAAGAATAAAACTTGAGATGGCGGCATATTGATTATCTACCCACTTTCTATCCATCAAAGCCCCATGACAATGCTGGCCACAGCTGAAAGAGGAAATATTTATCATTGCTATGGTGAGCAATGGCAAAAATGCTCTCTCATTACACAATTATATAAAAACTATTCCATCTTGAAAATTTTAACAGCTGAGTGAGACTGCATTTGCACTATAGAACTAGTGCAGTTTGACAGAGAAGACTAAAGACCTTATAAAATACTATAGTATTGAGTCATGATAGTTAAAGTGGTTTCAAACTGCATTGATTTTATAGTGTAGATGCACCCTTAACTTTATGCAATGTCATTCAGTATATTATCGTCTTTCAAAAGCAGCCTCAGATGCTGGAATAAGAAAGGCTTTTCATTCCGGCCACTTTCCCACCCAAATCCCCCAGTTGATTTGCTCTTTTGCTGGAACAGGGATATCATTTTGAAAATTGTAGTAGAAAGTCAAGAGTATCTCAAAACAACAATTCCTTTATACTTCCTTTAAGAAGGCAATGATTTCAGGGGCCAGCACACATTTTGGTGCTTCAAATGTTAGGTTAGTCTTGAGAACACCTCAACCAAGATACTCAGGGAGTCACGAAGATCTTCAATCAACTTTTTTTTCTTTTTTTCCCCCCTTTTCCCTTTAAACTACTATCACTTTTACCCAGCCTTTTTACACTTCCCTCCCTCTGTCCTCCCCCCCTTTTCCGCATACCCCTTACCCACTCATGCACTTTCCCATTTCTTTCCCTTACTCTGTGGCTCTTTTTGTTTTTGTTCTTGTCTTTTTTTTTTAACTTATGTCACGGAAAACTCAATAAAAATTTTTTTTAAAAAAAATGTTAGGTTAGTCTTTGGGTATATTTGGCCTGCTGATTCCAAAAATGGAACCAGTTTTCCATTATCTACTCGCCCAAAGAAATCATGCTAACCATATCTAATAAACTAGAGCTGATGCAGTCTATCCAATGTACTTTTCTGAATCAGGACCTCAAGTTCTGTTATAATCATTTAAAAAATTGTAGTAGAATGTCAACAATTCCATTATACTTACTTTAACAAGGCAATGATTCCACTGGTGAAAACACATTTTGGTGCTTCAAATTTTAGCCCAGTTTTTTGGCATATTTGGCCTGCTGATTCCAAAAATGGCACCAGTTTTCCCTTATCTGTTCACAATATCTGCTTTGAATTGGGTTATCTGAGTCCACATTGCTATATAATCCAGTTCAAAGCAGATAATGTGGGATTTTATACAGCTGTGTGAAAGGGTTCTAAACTGAGATTAAGTTTGGTGTGCTCCTGGCACTAAAGGGTAAATAAATATCTGTCAATATATGAGTGTATGGTGTGAACTGCTTGGTTTGGGGTAGAAACATCCCTCACAGTTTGGGGGTGCAGTAAAAAAAGATAGGTGAGGAGATAGGCTGAATTATTTTGGGATCATTCAGTACCAAAAGTTTTAGAACAAAATTCCCATACTATGGTTGCAGCCACACAGGCTTCCTACAAGAAGTATACATACAGGCAAAAATTCTCAGAATAAAATATAGAGAGATACTAGCTTCTGGGAATGTCTTATCCCTAGCCTCATTCTTAAGTACAGAATATTTATATTTTATCCTGGGAGCTGAACTTCTGTCTCCCTTCTACTAAAGGGATTTATCGTTCTTTGGTTTCTGTTTTCCCTGTTGGCTACTTCTGACTGTTTTCAGGCCTTTGAAGAAGAAGTATACAAAATTCATAACAAGCTAGCAATATTTTGCTCTCACTTGGGGTGGTAAGGGCTACACATGGCGCTGGCCGATGAACTTATGCCTCATTGTACCATGGAAGCTAGGGAAGCAACAACTGAGAGGCATGCCTGAGCTTTCTTATGTTTTCATTGCTTATCGTCTGCAACCACTGTCTGTCATTGTCATCTACACAACTGGTGTTACTCTTTCACATAAAAGGGAGGGTGAAAAAAGAAGAAGTGTGACAACATCTTTTAAATTAACTGCTTTTTATTTCAGTGTGAGCTTTCATGGACATAAACCTACTTCTTCATGGGAAGGAGTTTGGACATTTTAAAAGTACCCTACAACATAGAATGACAGATTTATCAACAAATTGAGACAGTTGGAGGAGACACCATAAACTGAAGAAGCAGATGTTGCTGTTTAACTCTTTAATTTGAACAAGACAGGTTTTCACAAAAGCAAAATTTCTCAAGTCCAAATATATATATATTGTCTGTCTAGTTAGTGAGGATCATTTGGTAGTTTCTCATTCTCATATGTCTGAGTTAGACAAGTAAGTATTTATATCCCTACCTGACGTTGCCCCCCCCCCCCACTACATGCACCCAATGACTATGGAGCATATCAGTAAAACACAGA